GTACATGACCGGCTGTTGTGCAGCCTTGGGCCAGAGCAATAGCGTCAGCAGCAGCAGCAGCAGCAGTAAGATGACAGCTGTTGCTCTTGTCGACCAGAAGGCGGACCTGAGCTAAAAATGGTTCTGCCAGAGCATAACAGAGAGGTGTTGCGAGAAGTGCGCGTGCGGCAGGCGTTCTTCGCTGGCCTGCTCCGTGCCTCGTCTGCGGGAAATGTCTTGTCCGATAGCAACGAGTGCGAATACGTGGTCTAAGTTCGACGCGCGTTGGTGTCGTACGAGGCCGAGGCCGAGGCCGAGGCCGAGGAGTAGGCAAGACGTGAGGTAGAGCAGGCGAGGCAAGACGAAGCGGTGTTTGCTCAACAGGGCCGCTAAAAACTCGCGTTATAACTCGCTGCCTCTAGACTCGTCTCTCCACTCTTCAAGTCGGTAAGTATCCGCCGAGTTGTTTTCGGCCGCGGCCTCCACAGAGCACAGCATCGAGAGAGAGAGAGAGAGAGAGAGCGACACAGAGTGAAGAGAACAGACTTCAGCATCGGCATCTGCAGTGGCAGCAGCAGCGGCAGTCTGTGGTTGTGTTCTTCTTGCACACGTCTCCTTCCGTCCGTTCGTCCGTCCGTCCGCCACCGCCGCCGTCGTTTTCACCCGTCGCAACTCGCCTCACCACCGCACCGCCGTACCCTCGACCACTCTCGCTCGCACTCTAATATTTTCCGATTACTGTACTGACGTCACCCGTTTTACCAGGCATCCAGTGTGGCCATGTCGGCATCCGTGTTTCGGAGTTCAAGTGCCAATTTGATCAAATCGGCTAGCGCCATGAGCCGAAGTGGCCTTGGGGAATTGGGCTTCGCCTATCCTGGATTCGGTGGAGCCACGATGAGTGTCGCCGATTTGGGATCACTTACGAGGCTAGAGGTAACACTGGCGTTCGACGTTGTTTCACAATTTAAGCGCAATCGGCAGATTTCGTGATTTCCACGTTTTCTTGCCATATGTTCTGTATTTTTTGCTTTTGACCAGTTGCAAGACGAGCTTCAAAGTCGGCTCATTACAGACAGACCTGAAACGATGTGCGTTTCCAACTGTTTTAAGCTGTCCCTCGTTTTCTGGCCTCTTCTCCTCAAAACATACGTGATCGATTTCCTTGGCCGTAAATAAAACGCTTGGCTTCCGGTTATTTTCAAAATTAAACTCTAGGCACGACATTTCAACTGATTTGTTTGTATTGTAGGCAAATGAATAGAAATCTATTTTTTGTTACGTGTTTTGCTTTTTACCATTCGTTTAAGCACTGTTCGATATTTAGGACAAAATTCGTCTGCTACAAGACGATCTAGAAAGTGAACGCGAACTGCGAAACAGGGTGCGTGCTAGTTTCTCGCATGTTTAGCCAGGCGTTTCTAATCCGTCGCATGTTGTTCAGATTGAAAGAGAACGAGCTGACCTGTCGGTGCAGCTGATCAACTTGACCGATCGCCTGGAAGATGCTGAAGGCAGCACTGATGCCCAGGTAGGACGGTCATTGCCGATTATGGATTACGTCCACCTGAAAATGCCTCACCCTTGCACTCGCGTTTCAGATCGAAGCGAATCGCAAGCGGGAGGGGGAACTCGCCAAACTGCGAAAACTGTTGGAAGATGCCCAGGTGGAAAATGAAGACTCGATGAACATTTTACGCAAAAAGCACCAGGAAGCGCTGTTAGACTACCAGCAGCAAATCGAAGGCTTGCAGAAGAAGAACACGAAGTATATTGCCTCTTATTTGACACATGCACATGTTTCCGAAGCGTTTTCCTCGTTCTGCTATACGTACTTGAAAAAACCTCACACAACTTAGCACTCCTTTCCGTAGTTTTTAAAACTCGATTTACACGGCACCCTCATTCCGTTTATGCTAAATGTTATGCCAAATATTAGACTTTAAATTGAACATTTTTGCAGAGTTAATACGATGAGGTAGGTGTCAGTTTGCAGAAGGCACGGTTCGTTGATTGCCGTTCGTCTGAATCCAGCATATACAAGATCCTTGAAAAATCTCTACTTTTTCGAATAGAAACGATGACAACCGAAGTGCTACACCATTTAGCTTTGATGATTAAGCTCAACAGATTAGTAGATAAATGATGACAGGGAATCATCAGATTTACCTCTCCGGTGACAATGCGAGGGTGGGAACTCCTATAACCGACTGAAAGATTTCCTACACATATTTGTCAGAGTTAGTACGTTTTATTATTTGCTGCCTATTTCTTTGGGAAAGAAAATGACAGTAGTGCGCACAAATATAGCCGGCTGGCGTAAATACTGTTTGAATGGCGATTTAAAAATATTCAGACCGTATAGTGCGTATTTTATTTATGTCAATTATTAATTAATTCCTACTTCTGCTATGTAATGTGCATATGTTATATGATTAATCTAAGATCAAATTTAGTTCAATTCATGGGTATCGCTTAATTTAGTCATAAGATTGAAGCCAGACCCAGCAAGTTCCTGTTGAAACATACCAACAGCTAAGGCGCGTCGATCGCAGGCATTTATTTTTTTCCTCATGTAGGCGAAATACCATGAACTGCAGGAGGGTATGAAGGAATTACAGCTCCTCTAAATGAATTGGACTTCATGTAATTTGCTTGATGTAAGCCGTAGTCTTCAAAGCCTGGCAGGTGCGCAGGAGAAGCAAAAATCTTGCACAATTTCTGTTCAGAGAGATGCATTCGTTTCGGATTAGTACCAAGAGTAAACCCCAATCCATTTGTTCTGGATAAGACACTCTCCGTACTTGAGGTTCATGGGCATGGTACCGTTTGTTGATAAGGTAAAATGCCTTTAGGACAAAGAACCCCGGAAAAATTTATGAAAAAGTGCAAAATATCAAGCCATCACTCATACTGAAGGTACCTTGAGGCTATTTTCAGCTTGGCACCTCGTTTTAGCAGGTTTAGGAGCATAATGTCCCACTTCCATAAGCTTGGTAAGATAATGATAAAATCGTTTGGCCTGATTTTGAAATAAAGTGATTTATTTTTCTTATCACATCGGGCTACTTATTTGTCTGCTGTAATCAACACATTGATAACAGAAATAGCCGATGAATATCAAATTTTAATTGCGGAATTATATCTCAAAAGCGAAAAGGTAGCAGTCATTAATCTTTTTGCCCCGTGATCGGCTAGTACAAAACTTTATAGGAAGCGAATGCAACTTCTGATTCCATACATAAAGCTGATAGCATAAATGAAAAAAAATGTTTATTTAACAAGCATTCAACGATTTAAACAAATTGGCACTGGTCACTTTTCGGGACCATCCTCTGAGGATGACAAATGTCAATTTGGTTCATGTCTTGAGTTGGCGTTAAATGAAGGATTTATTTCTTGTCTTTCTTGCCATTAAACATCGAATCACAATATAAATCTGCCTTCAATCATCCACGACAAGGCATCGGTATTAATTTATTATTATTTATTTATTATTTTTAGAAGTTACAATATTAGCGGTTGCTTCTTTTGTAGCTGCCGCTTTGGAGAATTAATCACTTCGTTTCTAACTTTGCAGAATATCTGAAAGGATCTTTCACAAACATGTTAATAATCACAAAGGCTGACCTAATGATAAATTTTATTATATCCATCTTCTTATATTGCTTAGGTTAGGAATTCAGTATATTTAATTTCCG